AGGCCATTGTCTTCTGCTTGGGGCAAGCAACCGTAGGTTGAGCAACACCTGCAGGTCAGACCGGCGCACCCATCGGTGTCCCTCCGATAGGGGGACCATTGGGAGTTGCCTCGGCTGGTCTGATAACGCTAACCTGGGGAAAGGAGAATTGTCTTGGTCGCAGCGACTTGGACACCTTAGGAGGCATGGTCGTTGCATGCGAACATCGTTAGTCAAACAGTTCGCTGCATGCAAATAACAAATCAAGCTAAGGTTATGGTGCTTACTCGGTATGGTCTCTAAGGTCGCTTCGGGATTGAAGAAACCGTATCTCCTCAAGTTCGAGGTTGTCACAAGTTGTCTCACGTCACGACTTTCCTCAGGCAAAAGGCCCAATGCAGTGATTCTGTCAGGATCCTCGAGAGTCGATAACCTAGTCGTCTTGTTAACTGCGAAGAAACAAAGAGCTCATTAGCGAAAATTAAAGGAAGTAAAATTTGCCAAGTCGTAGGAAGTAAAACCTACTCGACTTCCTAAATTGGTAAATGCCATCATATTGAAAGAAGAAAAACTTCGTCTCGTATGCCCCGACATTGTTGGGATAACTGTGTATTCCCGCTTCGATCATAGATCGCTTCGAGAGGTAGAAGGAATCCTTGTCTTTACTCTTCTTCAGATAATACGAGCAACCGAACTCTAGCATGGTTAGCTCACCCAAACCGTTCTCGTCGTATGCGATATATATAACCACAACTATCATATACGCATTCGGCGTAAGCTGTAGTCGTGCGATCCCGAAGTGATCGAGGACCGACCTAACGAAATGGTGGAAAGGGATCAACGCTCCACTCTTAAAAATTTTCTCGGAGATCGCCGCCATTCCTTCTAGCGGATTCTGAGCTATGTACGTCCCATGTTGGAAGACTTCTACGCTGAAAGCGTATTGGTCTACCACCTTCTGAATCTCCTCAACAGTGATTATCGATAGAATCTCCTGAGAGGGACCCGCTTGAGCATCCTGCACCGGCGAGCTAGTTCCCTCATCTGTCCTGGTCTCTAAAGGGCCTATACTTCTGTGGTCTGAAAAAAGCGGCATGAAAGAATCACTCAGTCGTTGTACACTGTTTCGTATGATGACGTGGAGGAAAAAATAAATGCTTCCTCCCTTAAACCTTAGAAAAACCCTAAAAGAATCCTTGAGCCACCCCCAATGGCTTAAACCCTAGGAGAAAGTTTATTCTCTGATCAACTACTGGCAAACACTTACTGTCACCGCATGGCAACTATCAAAAACAGAAAAAATAAAGTGGCCGAGGAACCATCCTTACCTCTTGAGTATGAAGATTAAACCTCCTACTCTGAGTGTCAAGCGCGCACCAATCTGAAAGACATAAAATCAAGGCTCACGAAAGTTTCTTGCTCTCTCTGAAGAAGTGAATATTGTGACATTACCTGAGGAGAGCCTGGGGTTTTATAGTGAAGGAAGTGGCGTTTGGCTTTCACGAAGTCAAACAACGTTTGAGCGAAAATCGCATCTCACCATTGATCGCGACCACGTGTCACTGATCAACGGGGAAGAGTGACCGTCATGCTTCGAGAAACCAAATCGTCGTTTCTTTCCGTTGAAACACTTAAGCGACGGCTCGTTTCTCTCCTCCACATTAAATGCGCTCACATCCGCATTTAATGCGCTGATTGGGAATGTCGTTTCAGCATGGCTCACATTCAATGCGCATGGCTGGCATTTACTGAGCGGAGGACACGTCTGTCAGAGCAAAAGGTATTTCATTTAATGTATCAGGTACAAAAGTGCAATGGATAACATCTGAAGAGGTCGTTACGTGAAACACTCTTTGTCGTGTGTCAGTTGCGAAGCGACGGGGCTCTTTGCCCTCATCGTGTGCCAGTTGCGAAGCGATGTGACTCTTTGCCATTGTCATGTGTCAGTTGCGAAGCAACGTAACTTTGCTTTCAGCAAAAAATATGTTGAGTGTAATCAGGTCGTGAACCTTGGTCAAGACCAGAATCATCGTTATGGCATTGAATAAGGTCTGGAACAGGTCGCGGACCTTAAGGAAGATCATTTCAAGTTGCTTGCATAGAAATGTTTTTCGCGACCTCTTTGCAACTAGGTCGGATCGACCAGTGTCCATTCGACACACATCAAATCAAGGCATAATTGTGTAGTTCTAAAGGTTCGATCCTCAAACCTTAAAAACTAGGGGACTTTTGTTATGCTTGAAAAAGAAGGGCTAACGTCGAACCTTGTTAGCATGGGCGGTCGGAGCTTAGGTAGGTTTTACAACCATTCAGATGGAGTCACATCGCATGTTGACGTAAGCAGCATGCTCCTACCAGTGCAATGGGTATGCGCCAGATTTGCAAAAGGCTGGTAACAGTCCACGTGTCCAATCCCTACGGAAGTCGAGGAAATCACTCGAGCAGGTGAGCAACAGGACACAAAGAAGGATTTGCACGACAATCTGACCCATTCACAGATTCAGTAATCATTACCTCAATTCATTCCACTATAAATAGAGGACTCCTCTCCCGTTTGTGGGATTAGCTAATTTTTCTCTGAAATAGCATACTCTCTCTCTCTCTCTCTCTCTCTCTCTCTCTCTCTCTCTCTTGTATCCAGTTGTACTCTCGAAACTATAAATCAGCTCGCTGAACGTGACCTAATCTTATATATTAATACAATATTAGTGGACGTATGAGTCGTTTACTTAAGCATCCGAGCCACTTTAAACATTGTTCTTCATCTCTTACTCAATCCAATACCCCCATATACACGTGAGATCTCTGAGTCCGCTCAGCATTTCCCACATGCGATTAGTTGGTGTCAAAATCAAGCATCAACAGTTGGTAAAAAATAAATATGTCCTTGATGTTAGTAGACCAAAAACATAGGGACTAAAAAGTTACTCAAACACCATCTGCCATAAACCAATAAGAAATGGTAAAATATTGGGCCACTGAAATTTAACCACTTCATAAGCTTTGTAACTTGCCTTTCTTACTTTGACAGATCGTTTTTGTTTTTAACAGAATATTGGCTCGTGAAGGGTGTGATTTTGGCTTTACAAATTTGCCCTCCATAGATAGCATTGCCTTCTTGCTCTTTTACAGCCTAACCTTTATATAATCTTCAAATAATATTGACCTGGATATAAACAAAACTTTCACGAAAGCTATTAAAATTATAAACTCTAAATTAACAAAAGTCCATGAGCACTAATCTGGTTGACCCAAAAATTTAATTTTTATAGTCACAACCAAAGCTTTTTTAGTTTCTGTATGGGTCAAAATTCATATTGGACCTAACGAGGTCCAATAACGTCGTTAATATGTGACGACCCAGAGTCTTGGCCCAATCTCGGTTGAGCCCACGCTTAGAATACCTTGGGAACTGCCTACTCTATGAGTTTGGTCATCTCCAAGTTAAGATGAACTGGGTCCAGCCCATTCGCTCATAGAAGTCTATAATAAGGATCAAAATCCTGGTCAAATTCCTCTTTTAACAAGATCTTGTATCTCACTCAAAGAGGAAAGTCTAGACTGGTAAAGGCAAAAAATCCAATCTTTTCCTGAAAAGAGAACCCCCTACCAAGTAGGAATTAGAGTCCTACTAGGATTTGAACCCCTTAGGTTCACTATATAAACGAAGGTTGGCCCTCTCATTAGGTATTGGGAAAAATCGCCCCTAAGCTCTAGCTCTTGTATTATCTAACCAATCATCTACCTCAACTCCCTCGCATCGCTAAAGCTCTCTCATAGACGCAAGAAGATCTCCTGTAGGTCCATCAAGGTTGTTAGTGGCTTGCCCCACAAGATTATGTCTTCAATTCAATTGTAAATTTTAGCATTTACAGTTTCTCAAATGAGACACTCATTAGGGGTCGTTTGATTAGCGGTAATAAAAGATTATTCTGGTAATCTATCATAAAAGTTTGAGAATTTGTTAAAATATCTCAGCCACAATAAAAGTTTAAAATTTAACAAAATACCTCCAATCACCTAAGACGACTGTCGACTGCTGACTACCATCGTCGGTCGTCGTTAGAAGTCACCAGAATGGCGTACGTTCAGCCAGATGTGGTCGAAAAATCTATGGCCGTTAACGGCCACATCTATTCTAGCTCTGGTCGTTTTTGGTCATCAATCTAGTAGGAAATGACTAGATCGGCACACAACTGGCCAGATTCAGTCGATTGTGCGCTGTTCAGGCCACTTTCGACCACCGTCGGCTGACAATCGCTTGGGTGACTAGGAGTATTTTGTTAAATTTTAAACTTTTATTGTGGCTAGGGTGTTTTAGCTAAATTCTCAAATGTTGAGGGGTTAAAAATAATAATCTAAATAATATTGAAAAAAGGGCAATTTAGTAAATGGGTCTCCCAAATTTTTTTTATTCCTTCCAATCAAACATATTAATTATTTATACTCATAAAACATATATAATATAATATTTCCCTCACTGTTTAGAACGAAAGGGATTATGGTTGCTTCTAGGTACTCTTGTCCGAAGGTCAAAGCTAATTTGGTTTGAAAAGGTGCATGATAATCGGAGTTTTCCAAAAATGATTTGATGCCTTGAAGCACATTTTTACGTTGTATTTGTTGGTAAAATTATTGTCCTAATGTCTACAAATAGTAGCAGCAGTCTTTAATAATTATTAATTGGAGCCTAAAAGAAACCGTGCATCAACCGGTCAACTGAGTAACGGGTTTGGAAGTTGGAACTTTGGATAGAAATAGCACTTGGACTAACGACTGATCATATTTAAACGGTCCCAGAACTAAAAATAAAATTAGAACCGCGTTCATCCCGTGTAGCTTGGCATCTAGAAGCTAAAGTCCATCACATGCACAGGATACGCCTATTTCAAGTAACTTCAAATTCTCTCGGTAGCCCTTCCCTAGTTAAAACCGCCATTTGTCAGTTAACTTTTCGAATTAAAGATACAATGCTTACTCTCTAAGCTTATTTTACCCTCCATTGAAACCTATAAATACCAATCAAAAATAGCAAGCCTAAATATTCCCAACGCACTTCTTCCTTCTCAACTTTCAATTCCCATTTTATCCTTTTCAATGGCTTCTCGCTACCAAGTAGAGGTCATCATCTCCTCAGCCAAAGACCTCAAGAACGTCAACTGGCGCTACGGCCCCATCAGGCCATACGCTGTCGTTTGGGTTGATCCTAATTACAAGTCCTCTACCAAGGTCGACGAAGAGGGTGACACCTGTCCCCACTGGGACGAGAGACTTACCATCTCTTTACCTGGCCCCGTCGACGGTGAAACCACACTCTTCATCGACATAGTCCACGCTGGCGACGAGGAGGCTACCAAGAAGCTGATCGGCTCCGCTCGCCTCAAGCTCAAAGAAGTTCTTGATGAAACCGGCGCCGGTGAGCGTGTTACCCGTACTTTGACTCTCAGGCGACCATCTGGGAGGCCTCACGGAAAAGTTGAGGTTAAGGTAACGATCATTGATCCCCGCTATGCTCCACGAGATGCGTATTACGCAGCTCCTTATGGGGTCCCCCCACAAGGATCCAGAGACTACTCTGCTCCGCCGTCCTACGGTTACCCCTACGCTCAACCACCACCGCCACCAAATCCATACTATTCAACTGCTCCACCACCAGGCGGTTATCCCTACGGCGGGTACAATGCTCCACCAACAACGTATGGTCAGGCAAGTGGAGGGTATTATGGACAACAGGAGGAGAAAAAGAGTAAATTTGGTGGGATGGGGACGGGATTGGCTGTGGGTGCAGTGGCTGGAGTTGTTGGTGGACTAGCTTTGGCTGAGGGTGCTGATGCGCTGGAGGATCATATCGCAGATGACGTGGCAGAGAAAGTGGAAGATGATGATGATGATGTTGGTTATGATGATGAGGAGTTCTAGAGTGTCGTGGGTGGTGCCATCCCTCTTTGTGGTTTTTGCTTTTTTTAAAACGTGAAGAAGAATCTGTGGCCCTACTTATCTATAAGTTTCTTCGTTAAAATGATTGATTAATAATTTTATACGAGTTTCAATGTATTTTCATATGATTTATAAATGGATTCAGTTTATTGAGGTTAAGAAAGCAGAATTAAAAAAGTGAAGCCTATGCGCTGTCGTTTCAGTAGTTGGAATCAAGCCAAATGCCTTATTATCCTTTTCTTTTCTGAAAACAAATTCTCTCTTTTTCTTTATTCTCAAGCCACAAAAGTAGTATCCAATGGTTAAAGAGTTAGAGGGATGATGACTTCTGTCTTCTGATATATGGTCCACTGGATAGGATCTAGAGTTTGGTTACACCAAACATAGTTGTCACTGCTTTGACTTTTTGGCCCGCCTTTATGGAAGGTTTTGAATTTTTGGGCCTGTAGCCTACCATTAGATTAGGCCCAACTTAATATACATTATTTTCACAGGCTATAGATAGTGAGAGCCTCTCCAAACCAGGGCCTAGTTTTAGAATCTTGAACCTAAATGTTGCTCGAACCTCTCTCTTTGAGGTGTACCCATTTCAAAATAATTTAACCAATAGGTAACAGTTTGTATTTATGCTTGAGAATTTTTTTTTTTTTTTTTTTAAGACTGGGGTGTTTGGATCAATTTATCTGCACCTCAACTAATCTTCCAAGATTCTAAAACTATAGATCGAATAAAAGCTTCAAGGATCATTCTTATTAGAGGTAATGAGAACTTGAACTTAAGAGACTATGTTAGATTTTTCTCTTGATCTTTTACCATTAGAAGGACTTAAACTTAAAGATCATGTTAGAACTGCATTTTTTATGTTATTATCAAGCCACGCAATAATGATTCTTTTAAAACACTATTACTTCATTCCTAAAGCATATGTCTCTATAATCACTACACATTAATTAAGTAAATATTCAGAGAACTACTCAAATAAAAAAGTTACAACTGAATTTTCTTCTTCCTAGATAGATTACAACATATAGCCAGGTTTCAATTCTCTGCTCTAATTTTCTTTTTATCCATTATCTTATGAAAAATTGGCTAGCTTTTGTTACTATATAGTAGTAGTGCAGCAGTGATCTAGTTAATCTAGTTGATTTGTAAATTATCTTATCAAGTTGAGATCTCATTCTCATGCATGATGGTGATGCTAGCTCTTGTATGTATATGGCACTGAAGAATTCACGGACTGGCAACTATTTAATGCAAACCTCATCTCATAGTCATCGTCAACTCTAAGATAGGCCAAATCTCCAGAGACACAGAGAGAACTGTGAGCTCGTGAATGAATGGTGTGATTGGTGAGTGAGTATATCATGTCTTTTGTCTTCTAATAATTACATGATTCTCAGACGCCATTCCTCTATTTTTAGGGGTGTTCGGTTCCAGATATCCTGTATTTTTCAAAAAAACTAGAACCATAGATACCCAAAACCAAAACCTGTAACAATGGTTCCGGTTCCGATTCTGGGTATCCTATAAAATTCAATTACCCTCAAAAGTTTTTAAAATGGCAAATAAACCCTTAAAATTTTACAAATATCCCCCCACCTGGCACTTGTTAACAAAAATAAAATTACAAATTATAAACTCCATTACTTTGTAAAGGTAAATTCTCAAATGTCAAACTAATTACTTTAAATGTTATGAAGTATAAATATAAATGTATTCACATTACTTTTTCTATAAAAGATTTTATTAACCCCCTATTCTTTAATTTTATTTTAAATTGGTCTCGGATCCCGATTCCAGTTCCTAACTATAGGAACCGGAATCGAAACTGTACAGTAACGATTCCAAAAATTTGAAACCAGAACCTACCCGTTGACAGTCGGTTATGGGTAGAAACCGAAACTAAATGCCGGATACCCGTCAGTTCTAGTTCCAATCGGTTCTTTTGAATACCCCTATCTATTTTGCCCAATTTCTCATCAACCCTTAACCTTCACTAATCTAAAACCATTCTTTGTCCTCTCTCTCTCTCTCTCTCTCTCTTAATTAAATTTTATTTAACTCTATCGAATATTTGCTTTAGTAATATTTCTATTTTGGCATGTCTATGTACTAATTAATTTTTAATATTAGTTCCAATATGGCACCCCCAGAACTTTTTAATTCTACTTCTTATCCCTCCATCAACACTATACTCATGGAAAATTTCTTCAACAAACCTCTCTTCATCTTTCTCTCTCTATCCCAAGTTTATTCTCTCCTCAACTTTCTCTTCGTCCTCCATGGAAGACCAGTCACCACCGCCACTAGCATCTCCACCCAAAACTTACAAATTAACAGCTTCCTCAATCTCCTATATCAAATCAAGTTCCTCCATTGTTCCCTCCTTCCTTTACAAAGCTTGCACATCATCACCTCCATCTTACATTCTGCGTGATGTCTCACTCACTGCCTATCCATCTCAAATCCTTGCCATTGTTGGTCCAAGTGGAGCAGGAAAATCCACTCTCCTTGACATTTTAGCTGCTCGAATTTCACCCACTAATGGCACTCTCCTTCTCAATTCTTCCCCTATCAACCCTTCTTCGTTCCGCAAGCTTTCCGCTTATGTCCCTCAACATGATGCATGCATCCCCTCGCTCACTGTCTCTGAAACTTTTGCCTTTTCAGCCCGCCTTCTTGTTCCTAATCCATCCCATATTGATACCATTGTTTCAACTCTTCTCGCGGAGCTCAAGTTAACACACTTGGCCAATACTCGGCTGGCTCATGGTTTATCAGGTGGAGAACGTAGACGAGTCTCCATAGGCCTCAGTCTCCTCCATGACCCTGCTGTTTTGCTTCTTGATGAGCCGACTTCAGGGCTCGATAGCAGCTCAGCTTGCAACGTGATGCAGATCCTCAAATCCATCGCTATTTCACGCCACCGCACTGTGGTTTTATCCATACATCAACCAAGTTTCAAGATCCTTTCTACAATTGATAGAATTCTCATGCTATCAAAAGGGAGTGTTGTGCACCATGGCACACTTTCTTCCCTACAAACATTCTTACTCTCCAATGGCTTTACTGTTCCCCCTCAACTTAACGCCCTTGAATATACCATGGAAATACTAAACCAGCTCCAGGATAGTTATAAATCTATTACACCACCACCTCTCCCTTCATCACCTAAGGATTCTGCCTTTAATTCTGTTTCTTTTGATCATGAAGTGAAAAATATCAGATATAGAAGCTCAAGGATCCAAGAAATCTGCACTCTATATAATAGGTCTTGGAAGATTATTTACAGAACAAGACAGCTGCTATTGACAAACACATTAGAAGCTCTTATTGTAGGTCTTGTTCTAGGAACAATCTACATCAATATGGGATATGATAAGCAAGGGATAGAGAAGAGGTTTGGTCTCTTTGCCTTCACTCTCACTTTCCTTCTCTCCTCAACAACTGAAACTCTTCCGATCTTCATTAATGAAAGGCAAATTCTACTGCGAGAAACATCAAGTGGGGTTTACCGGCTATCGAGTTATCTCATTGCAAATACTCTTGTTTTTTTGCCATACTTGCTTGCAGTTGCAGTCATATACTCATTCTCGGTCTACTTCTTAGTGGGGCTTTGTGGTTCATGGCAAGCTTTTGCTTACTTTGTTTTGGTCATTTGGGTGATAGTTATAATGGCTAATTCTTTTGTTCTCTTCTTGAGCTCTCTAGCACCAAATTACATCGCCGGAACTTCACTTGTAACAATACTTCTCGGTGCTTTCTTTCTCTTCTCTGGCTACTTCATCTCAAAAGACAGTTTGCCCAAGTATTGGCTCTTCATGTACTTCTTTTCAATGTATAAATATGCCCTCGACGCTCTCCTTATCAATGAGTATTCTTGCCTTTCGTCAAGGTGCTTTATTTGGTACGAAGAGAACAGCACGTGCATGGTGACAGGAGGAGATGTGTTGGAGAAGAGAGGACTCCATGAGAGGCAGAGGTGGACAAACATTTATTTCTTGATTGGATTCTTTGTGCTTTACCGGGTGCTTTGTTTCATGGTTTTGATCAGAAGGGTTTCACAATCAAAGAAGTGAAGAGGCCGGTGCAGAGATCATTATCAAGTTTATTTAGTGTTCTTTCAACATGCTTTTGGGAATCTGTTTCTAAAACTTTGAAGCTTTCGTTATGGATTCTGAGTCTTCATTGATCTCTCTCAAATCAATAATAAATTCAAATTACTATGATAGTAAAGCATGTTCAATTCACACTTATATACTTTTTATATCTATGTATTTTTCCAATTACTTTGATATGTCTTTTTAAAAGAAAACTTTCTATTGATGCATGCCAATCAAGAGATGAGTATTTAGCATTAAAGAGAACTTTTTACTGAGTTCATGATTTAGAGACTTGAAATTGAGATGTGCATAAGAATGTTGCGCATCTCCTCAACATTGAAAACACAGAATAATAAACCCCAAGAGGTTGGTCTATCCGTCAAAGAGATTTGCTCCCTTTCTTGAGTTCTTGGGTTTAAACTTTAGAGTCACTTACCATAATAATATTGTAGCTTACCTGGTCCTTTGGGCTTATAGGGTGCTCAATGGACCTGGATGATTAGTTGAGGTAGGGTTAGCCTACTGGTCAAGGAGGCTTGCTCCTTTTCTTGAGTTTTTGGATTTAAACCTTGAGACCACCTACCATAATAATATTATAGTTTGTATGGTTCTTTAGGCTTATAGAGTGTCCAATGGACTCCAGGAATTAGTTGAGACACACAAACTGGTCCAAACACCCTGATTATCTAAAATAGAAACATAGAATAATGTGGACTCCAAATAATTTAGAAAAAGATAGCTTTGATAAGTTCATACGGTTGGTGACCCCATCATTTTCTGATAATTAGAAGTCACGGGTCTCAATCTATTGATATTAAAAGATGATGGATGAGTGAAGAATCCAAAGTGTCGTTCTCATCATAAATAGGGTAATGTAGTGCTGTCGGATCTCGAAATGCTGTGCTTTGTTTGCTTTCGTTATAAATCAGTGCATGTTCACGGGTTCCTCTTTCTGTAGTCACATGTGAACTCTCTAATCGCTTCTCTCATGTCTCCTTTGTTTTCTCCTTCATTAACCATGCATGTTGGTGTTATTAAATAGGATAATCAAACAAATTTCTAAGTGTAATTGTTCATTAAAAATCTTATTGTTATGGATCCTGAAGACGACAACTTTATTCAATCTAATTTCAATGGGATATGGTTAGAGTTATTGGGTTGGCAACAAGGAAGCCCAAACGCAACTTGAAATAAGTCTCATCTATATGTTGAAAGACACAAAATTACGTATAGACAGTTTCATCACTTCATTAATTTTGCAAATATAGTGATGGTACCATCCAATTAAAAAAATAAAACTATTATCTTTTTTTTTTCGATGATCGGAGGTGTCTAGGCCAACTTACCACATCTCAATTAATCTCTCAGAACCCTGAATACCGATAAGGTAAGAGTTTAAGTGACTATCCCTATTAGTAACCAAGGATAGACTCGAACTTAGAACCTGTTGAATAATACATCTAAGAATCCCTATTAAACTACTCAGAAGCAGTTAATAAAACTATTATCCCCCTGTATGAAAATGATTTAGAATTACACATTATAAGGGTATTTATTAATTTATTAATAAAAGAGACAATTTCGTTAACTACATCATTGATTTTCATTATCATCTCTAAGATTTAGACTTTCTAGGGCAGGGCAGGGCAGTACGTATGTTCCTAGTCTTCAATGGCTATTCTTCCTTTTCAACGTTGATCTTCTTGAGCCCTCATCTCCTCATGATCAATTTCTTGAAGATGGGGCTTACTCAACAAAGTAGTGGCCCTTATTCATTATTTTCTATCGAAGGAAAAGCCCATTTTGAGATCATTTATTGATTCAGCCTGGAGATCCTCTTTTGTAGGCTCATAGAAACTTGTGCCATTGTGATTATACCATATCTACAAAGCTTCTAGATAATAATTGAATTTCTATTGACAATTCTGTGGTGTTAAATAAGTAGCCATACTGTATAGATTAATATTACATATACATCATTTTTATATAATATTTTTCATACAATATTATATAGTAAGATATGATTGGCTAATTTAAAGTTAAAATTAAACTTTCACCCAATCACATCTTACCACATAATATTGTATGAGAAATATTATATGAGAATGATGTATGTGTAATATTATTCTACTGCATATTCTCACCGAACATATACGTGCGGTAGAGTTACGTTGTTGGGTCATCCAATTCTATTAAACCTGTAGTTCGGACCATTATTTTATGTATCGATTAAGATGATATTGGTTTTCTCTACATTTATTTTTCTATTAAGGGTGAATCCCAATTCTCACCTAACCCAATATGTGTTGCAGAGTTGCTACTTAGTTTCTGCTTAATTGTCAAATTCTTTCTTCTTCCTTAGAAGAGATGCATTTCATTTGGCTCTTCAATTAATGGTTTAATTACAGGTTACAGCTTTGAAAAGTCGTTCCCCTTTGTAGACCTACCACATTTCCTCTTTTGCTTCAATAATTAGCATTTGCCTACCTCACCGCCTTATTATCTTATTCTCTTCCAAGTTATAGATTTGTATCGAAGAGGTTGTAACATGGGATAAGTTTTTAACTTTTAGAAATATATATTTTGGTGTTGAAATTATTAAAAGAAATGTAAGTTATTTTGTTAACAGCCAAATCTATGACTAGAGATTTGGTTGTTAATGGTTAAATCAATCTGGTTGTTAATGATGACTAGAGATTTGGTTATTAATAGCTAAATCAATTTGACCGTTAATGATAGCCAGATTATGACTATAGATCTAGTTGTATATATGATGGATCTAGTTGAAAAAGACCAGATCGACGCACGATTGGTTAAATCTAGCCAGTCATACACCATTCTGACAATTGTCGACCACTGTTCGACGGTGGTGGTCGGCTTTCGACAGTCTGTTGTGGGTATTTTTGTTAATTTATAAAAAAAAAATTTGGGAGATGTTTAGCTAAATTAACAAATGTAGAGGTTAAAAAATAATCTAAATGTTTTCCAAAAATGTTTTCAAAAAATGTTCCAAACACATTCTCAAAATCATATCATATTTGATTAAATCATATCCTATCCTATTAGAATAGAATATTATTTCAAACAATGTACCAAAAAGACTCATTAATATTATCATGTTTGGTTGTCAAGTAATAAAATATTCTAGTAATCCTCTAATACCAGTAGTAATCACTGTTGGTTATATAGGTAGTAATTTGAACACAACCATTTTCTTAGGTATTCTACTATTACTTGGAGATCTTAATTTTGTTAAAATTTTACCCCTAACTATTAAAAATTTTGGACAATAATGCCCTTGTTCTTGACACAATTTACAAGAATATTCATGAACTATTTTATCTTTATACACAAAATTTTTAAGACATTATTACCCTTGAGCTTGAACCAAATTACCCAAGATAGATGGTTGGATTTGGCCACCAACACTGGCCATCGGTTGCCATTGTCATCGTCGGAATGACACACAATTTGCTGGGATTTGGGCGATTGTGCACCAATCTGGTTGGAAATCTGGTCTTATCGATGGATGAAAACGACCAGATGGCCGAGGATGTGGCTGTTTTTAGCCAAATCCATGGCCGTTAACGACCACAGATCTGACTATTTTTTGCTAGATCTAAGGCCATTTGGCTATTTCTGGTCATCAATCTAGCTAGAGATAGATGGATTAAAAATAAAAGAAGGGGGTGGAGGGGGGGGGGGGGGGGGGGGGGGGTGGGGGGGGGGGGGGGGAGGGGGGGGGGGGGGGGGGGGGGGGGGCGCTCCACTTGACCACTTGACCCTCTTAGTTTTAAAAATTCTTAACAAGTTTTACAATTTACCCCTATGAAAATAAATTACAAAAAAATCTCAATTCTAAAATAAGTTAAAATCTCTTTTTTTTCTTTTGGGTTGTCAAAACTAAACTTCTCTTTTCCTACCTCCCAGACTTGTTCTTTCTCTATTGCCCATACTAATTCAACAACTTAAGTTTCAAATTTTTTCTTAAATATCTCTTCTTTATCCACACAATATAGTTTTCTCTCACCTATCAAGCCGATAACTTGTTTTTTATTCATTTGTCATGTAATTGGTTGATTTTGTGTTTTTTTTTTGTTTGTTTTTTTTTTTCTTTTTAAGAGAAGCGAGAAGAATGGGTTTTCTTGGGACTACATGTTTTAATATTTGTTATAAAAAAATGTTTGATTCAATGGGAGTTAAATTTAATTGTTTTATAAGTGTTATGAAAATGTGGATTTAATTATACAAATATTTGGTAATTTGAATAGATTTTTTTCCACATATCAATTTAATTTTAGTCATGTATAAAATGTAAGATCTATTTTTTTTTTTTTTAAAATATACATTAAGACTATTTCAATTCATTTAATTACTTTAATTTATTTTTGTTAAAGTATTTTTATTAGTTTATTTGTTGACGAAATTAGCATTGATTTCACCCGTTGCCACTGCTAGTGGAAGACCCTTATCAAAAATGAATTTTTGTGAAGAATCGTTTGCGAATAAAATAGTGTTCAATGGTTGAATGATAGCTAATTGTCTTATAGGGAAAGATTATTTGATAATATTGATAATGAAGTCATTATATAGTATTTCAAAAGATGAAAACTTATTAAGAACATTATAAATTTATTAGTTAATGAGAATTTATAAATACAAAACTTGTACTTATTTTAATTAAAATTGTATTGTCCTTTCAACTTTGACTGCCCTACATTTCATTTTGGCTACTCCCCCAGATCTAGCCTTAAACGGCTAGATCCGCGTATAGCCGACCATTCCCATGGCCACGACCCGATGGGCGACAGTGGTTTGGGTGAGTGAAGGTGTTTTTTATTATAATTTAAATTTTAATTATGATTAGAGTGTTTTAGCAAAATCTCAAATATAAGGGATAAGAAATAATCCAAATATAATATTACAAGAATGACAATTCAGGAATCTATATAATATATCTACCATTTTATTTCACTTAAACCAATATACCAAATAATATATGACCATTTATTTTAATTTAATCAAATAAATTTAATATAACATTCTCAATCATTTTTAAAATAATATACCTTTTTGTTAATATTATATTT